TTTTCCAGGCAAGAATACTGGAGTGGGTTGCCGTTTCATCCTCCAGGGGATCTTCCTGACCCAGGGATCGAACCCACATCTCCTGCATTGCAAGCAGGCGCTTTACCACTGAGCCAGTAGGGAAGCACTTGCCACAATGGTGCTCATTTATTCCACACAAGACTCTGTGTCACAGATTCAGTCATTATCCTCGTTTCATAGAAAAAGAAACAGAATCGAAGAGCGGTCACAGAGCCAATATACAACATACTTAGATTAAAATCTTGAGATTCCTATTTCAAAATCATGCTCTTAGCCTACACACTTCATGTACATAGCAGTTGCACTTGGCAGCGGGTACAGCAGAGTAGAGGCGAGAACATTGCCCCTGGGGACACTGATCTGGCAAGAAAAGAACTGGCTGGCTTCTTCGAGAGGCCTCAAGTCACTCCGCAGTAAATGGAAAAAATAACTGCCTCTTTATCTGGTGAAGTAAGGGGAGATAAAATCACCTTCACCCTTGATTTTACTGCAAAGGAGGTGGCTAAGGCACAGCAGCCAATAGGTATGGATGGAATTAGGAGGCTACTTAATGGAGTGTGTTTTATGGGGGCAGTCCAACTGCACTAGCCTCATCTACACAATGGGCATAAAAATAATAGTATCTTAGGGTGGTTGTGGGCCTTCCCTGGTGGCTCAGAGGGTAAAGAATCCACCTGCAATGGGGAAGACCTGGGTTTGATCCCTGGGTTGGGAAGATCCCCTGGAGAAGGAAATGGCAACCCACTCCAGTATTCTTGCCTGGAGAATCCCATGGACAGAGAAGCCTGGTGGGCTACAGTCCACGGGGTCACAAAGAGTCAGACACAACTAGGTGACTAAGCACAGCACACAGGGTGGTTGCGACAATTCAATGTATTAAAATATACGTAATAGAAAAAATAAAATAAAATACGTAATAGATTTAGAACAGTGCTTGACAGATAATGCTCACTATCTAAACACTAGCTACTCACTCTTGGTATTAACGATAGAGACTTGGCTACTAGGGACCCCTGAGGCCTTAAATATATGTAAGCTCCAAGCAGAGATGGGGAGAGGCCCAAGCTCATCTTGGCTCCCTCTCAGTGGGCGTTTAGTTTGGAGGAGTAGTTAGCTATTGTCCTGGCCGATAGAAAGCAGAGCTCAGAAGGCATATGACAAGGGTGGGGAAACAAGATGTCAAGGAATAAGAATAACTCCTACTTTTTTTTTTTTTTTTATCAATTCTATTACCAAACGTGGCATTTAGAGTATACCAACTTGGTTTCATCTAATCCTCACAATTGTCTGGGATATTACTAACAGTATTCCTTGTCTGAGCCTTCATTCCCACCTCTGAAAAAAGACAATAAAGAGGAGTGAGGATGCAGGCTGGGGCAACCTGACCCCAGAGCACATCCTCCTACCTTCTGCCCTCATTACTTCTCAAAGGTCTACCACTGAGAGCCAGACGTCAAGGGGGTGGGGGGCATCAACAAGGCTGTGGATGGGACTGACACACGCCATAATCACAGCACAGTTTGTACTAGGATTGATGGGTGTAAAACACAAGTCACAAATACTTTGATTTGCCTTGTTTAAGATTAGATTTGAAACAAGTTTAGATGATACTTCATGAGAAATTTTGGGGAAAGCCCGTTGTTATATGCACTTTTGAAAATACAAACCACCAACTGACCTTTTACCCTCTCTCAGAAAGGAGAGAGATGAGAAATTATTGACCTGCCAGATTTTGTAAACTTTAAGTTAAATCTATACTTAGTCTTTATATTTATTTCTCCATGAGAGAACAACTGAATTTCTAAGACTCCTTCCTACAAAGGGCAATGATATTACTTCCTGTAATAGTACAAGGCTTATTTTCATAATTCTCTTCCATGTGTTCTTATAATCTTTCAATTGCATTTTTATTATGGAAAACTACATACATGGAAAGGTTGTGGAGAATCATATTTATTCAAAACTTTGACTCAAAGTTGTAAAATACACCACAAGAAATTGAGTTTGCTCCCCAGCCTTACGTTAACTAACCCACAGACAGTAAATGCTGATGAGAATGAAGACAAATGCCATATCAAAACTGTGAGGGCTCTTCTTACGTTAAGATCTGAAATAATTTCCTCTTTGCAGAAGTTATCTTTTGCAAATGGCATAAGCATATGATCATGACATTGGTCTTGAAACCCACTGTAGCTCTCTCTTGGTTCTGCACAAGCCCATGCAAGGGATGGGCTTCATGGAGTTGTCAGCAGCAAAAGGGATCATGGAAGGACCAGTGACCTGTAAACAGTACAAGGTGTACGAAACTGAGGGGAGATTGCCAGCTGCAGAAGAGAGGCAGTGTGTTGTGTGCAAGATTAATATTTCCTATGGTTCTGATGTTGAAGCTGAAACTCCAATACTTTGGCGACCTGATGTGAAGAGCTGACTCATTGGAAAAGACCCTGATGCTGGGAAAGATTGAGGGCAGGAGGAGAAGGGGACGACAGAGGAAGAGATGGTTGGATGGTATTACCGACTCAATGGACATGGGTTTGGGTGGACTCTGGGAGTTGGTGATGGACAGGGAGGCCTGGCGTGCTGCGGTTCATGAGGTTGCAAAGAGTCAGACACAACTGAGTGACTGAACTGAACTGAATGGTTCTGATACTAGGTTGGGAGCCTTGTGGAGGTCATCACACACTCGTGTATAAACCCACTGAGCACTGCGGGACGAATATTAGGCAGAGATTGTCCAATCTACCTGTTTGTAGTCCTAGAAAGTACTGGATTCAACTCCATGGTCCATTCTACTTCCCTTGTGGTACCATAGACAGGAAACTGCCTGCTAATGCAGAGGACACAGGAAGATCCCACTAAGCCCATATGCCACAACTATTGGTCCTGTGCTCTGGAGCCTGCGGGCCACAACTACTGAAGCTCCGGTGCCCTAGAGCTTGTGCTTCTCAACAAGAGAAGCGACCGTAAGGAGAAGCCCATGCACGTCAACAAAGAGTAGTCCCCGCTTGCAGCAAGTAGAGAAAGCCCAGGCAGTAAGAGAGTCCCGGTGCAGCCAAAAATAAACAAATAAATAAAATTATTTAAAAAACAATAAAATGTTGACTCTCCTGCCCTGCCCCTGAGAACTAGAAGGAACTTTATAGTCATCAAGGTTCTGAGTCTGCCTCCTACTGTGGGACTTGTCAGACTCCCCTCAACCTGCTGCTGGAGTGGCAGTTAGCAGGTGCTTAATAAATGCATGTTGACTGACTGACCAACCAGACCTCCCATTCCTCGTCTGCAGAAATAAAAAGGATGGCAGACATGATATCTGAAGTAATTTCCAAGTTTAAAAGTTCAGAACTTGGGTGCAATCGAAAAATGTTGTCAGAGTGGAAATGGAACTCTTTAGAGATGGAGTAATTATGAAGCAGCAGGCAATAAGGCAAAGCCCTAGTCTTCTTATTCCCAGAAAGCTTTAAAGATTTCCTTTTCAATGCAAATCAAACTTACAATGAGGTATCACCTCACACGGGTTGGAATAGTCATCATTAAAATATACAAATAATAATTGCTGGAGAGGACATGGAGAAAAAAGAACCTTCCTACACTGTTGCTGCGAATGTAAATTGGTGCAGCAATTTACAATTTTCCACTAAGAAAAACAGTATGGAGGTTCCTCAAAAAACTAAAAATAGAGTTGCCATATGATCCAGCAATGCCACTCCTGGGGATATATCCAGACAAAACTCTAATTTGAAAAGATACATGCACCCCTATGTTCGTAGCAGCATTACTCACAAGACACGGAAACAACCTACATGTCCATCGACAGATGAATGGATAAAGAAGTTGCGGGACACATATACAATGTCATAATGCATGCATGTGTGCTTAGTAGCTCGGTCGCAACCGACTCTTTGTGACCCCATGGACTGTAGCCCTCCAGGCTCCTCTGTCCATGGGATTTTCCAAGCAAGAATACTGGAGTGGGTTGCTATTTCCTCCTCCAGGGTGTCTTCCTGACCCAGGGATCAAACCCAAATCTCCTGGGTCTCCTGCATCACAGAGAGATTCTTTACCACTGAGCCATGGAGAAGCCCACATATATACAATGGAATATTACTCAGCTATAAAAAAAGAATGAACTAATACCATTTGCAGCAACATGAATGGACTTAGAACATATCATACTAAGTGAAGTAAGTCAGAAAACAAATATCATCTGGAAGCACTTATAGGTGGAATCTGAGCTTCCCATGTGGTTCAGTAGTAAAGAATCCACCCACCAATGTGGGAGACAAGGGTTGGATCCCCGGGTCAGGAAGACACCCTGGAAGAGGAAAGGGCAACTCATTCCAGTATTCTTGCCTGTATACTGCCATATATAGAGTAGCCTGGCAGTCTAAAGTCCATGGGGTCACAAAGAGCTGGACACAACTGAGCAACTCACGTACATATGTGGAATCTAAAATGTGACACAAATGAATCTATCTATGAAGCAGAAACAGACTCACAGACATAGAGAACAGACTTGTTCTGTTGCCAAGGAGGAAAGGGATGGGGAGGAAGGGGACTGAGAGACTGGGGTTAGCAGATGTAAACTGTTACATATAGAATGAATAAACAACAAGGTCCTACTGAGTAGCACAGGGACCTCTATTCAATATCCTGGGATAAACCATAATGGGAAAGAATATTTAAAAACGTATACATGTGTATAACTGAATCTCTTTGCTGAACAGAGAGAAATTAATGCAACATTATAAATCAATTACAATAAAAATTCTTCAAATTTTTTTTAAAAAACACAAAGTGGCATCCATCTGCACAGTGACATTTGTCTGGGATCGTCTTTAGAGGACATCTGCCCGCATGTGCTGTCCACCTCCAGTGTGGCGTCTGTACAGAGGTCACCCTCCCTCCCCTGCACACCAAACNCCACAGTGGCTGTACCAATTTATGTTACTTCTAACAGTATACAAGGATTCCCTTTTCTCCACATCCTCACCAACATTTATGACTTGCTGACTTTATGATGATAGCTGTTCCAAAAGGTGTGAGGTGATGTCTCATCGCAGTTTTGGTGTGCATTCCTCTGATGATCTGGGATGTTGAGCATATTTTTACATGCCTGTTGGCCATCTACATCTTTCTTAGAAAAAACATATATCCAAGCCTTCTGCCCATTTTTTGGTTGTTTGGTTTTTTTATATTGAGTAATATTTATATGTATATATATTTGGATTTTAACCCCTTATCAGTTATAGCATTTGCAAATATTTTCTCTCATTCAGTCAATTGTCTTTCATTTTGTTGATGCCTTCCTTTGCTGTGCAAAAGCTTTTAAGTTTAATCAGGTCTCATTTGTTTTCTTTTGCTTTTGTTTCTTTTGCCTTAGGAGACATATCTGAAAAAAATATTTCTATGACTTATGTCAAAGAGTGTTCTGCCTATGTTCTCTTCTAGAAGTTGAATGATTTCAAATCTGACATTTAGGTCTTCAACTAAAATCGAAATAGATTTTGGAAATTATTTTTAAAATCTAAATATCTATGCATCACCAATAAGCTCAGAGTACTGTACAGCTCTTTTTTGGTATCAACCCCTCTCAGCACATAACCCTAAAGGTGACTTATCTCTCGCATTCCAGAGAGGAGAAAGCAAGTCCCAGTGGAGTCTGCTCCACGCTGAGCTGAATTCACTTACAAAGAAGATGTGGCGCAAGCAGAGCTGAAAACCAGCCCAGGAGAATGTGTGTTTTTGAACCAAACCATCTCCAAATGCCCTGGGAAGTGCTTTCAAGCTTTGTTTGTGCTGCCGGCAAAAGAGACTTTTCACAAAAGGGCTGTTTTTCAAAGAACAACAAACGCTGCTATTTTAAACTTGGGGGTGGGAGATCTATCTGGACCTGGACAGTTTACACAAGCGAGTGCTGGCTGACTGACATCTCACCCCAGTGTCTGCAGCTCCGGCTTCCAAGGAAAGCAAAGGGTCCCGCTTCTGATGGCTCTGGGAGTCAGCATATGAGCTCTCCAGCTGTAGTTGAACTTTGCAACGTAGGCAGAAATCCTCAACAAGGTCAGGCTGGTGATGCTTACCACCCAAGTGGTCTTGGGGATTAAAGGGGGCCAGGAAGCTATGGAAGACTTGAGCACAGTCAGCAGACACAGGACTTAATGGACACTAACTCCCATGCTCTGCGTGTGTGTGTGTGTGTGTGTGTGTTGTCCCTATTATTGCTCTAGGACAATGCTGCTTGACTGTAAGAAGCCAGTCGCTGGAGTCAGGCTACCTGGGTTTACAGCCTCACTCCACCATAGCTAAGCCCATAAACTCCCAGGTTTCAGCATCCTTGTATGTAAAGTAGAGGTGGTAACCATTGCCTGCACCCAGGAGGCTGTTGTCAGCAGTCAAGAGGCTGACACACCAGAGCACTCCCACATCCTACCACACTGGCCATGGCTGCTGCCAGGACTCTTGGCTCTCAGAAGCCCAACAAACTGCCCACCAAACAGGAATGTGTGTCTAGCCCTTGCAAAGTCAATGAAAAGGCAGAGACGGCAACACCATCCTGCTCACGGTGTTAGATTTTAAAAACATGTAATAATAATAATAATAATGACAAGGAGTATAATCACCAATTTCCATCACAACTCCAGTGCTTTTTCTCACATTATAGAGATTCATGAAATTCTGGAAGAGAAGCAGCCAGCGGCGATCAGCAAGACAGAACAGGGAAAGGTGAGCCCCTACGGTAGGAAAATTTCTCTAAAAGGGCTGTTATTTTTACAACACAGCCCTAAATCTTTCCAGGAAAGGAAAACACAGCCAAGCTCACTCAGCAAGGGGCGGAATCGCATTTCCCCTTCTCTCACCGGAAGTTTCAAACTAACTAGAAACGTGACAATGACTGCCAGTGGCCGGCAGGTTGGAAATTTTATTTTTTTTTTAAATCATTTTCCGTGTTCAGAGTCTGAAAAATAGGGATTGAAACAGTGCAGTGTTCAGAGGAGAAAAGGGCAGTGAGGGGTTACTAGCTAACTCTATAGAGTTTTCGCAGCAGCATCCTTAGTGTACAAGAGACCCGACCTTCAGTTTCGTAAGAAGTAAGGACTGGACACGTTAAGCAATGAATTCCGAGATGCCCAGAGTTACCCAGCTCCCAGCCCAGATTTCTTTGCAACTCAGCCAAACGGCTTTGCGGAGTTCAGCTGAGTGGGGGAAGGGGAAAAAAAAAGAGCAACCAACTTTACACGCGTCTTACCCTGCGGTTTTCGAAGGAAATAAGGAAAAGACACTAACCTTGCCTCTTGTCTGGGAAGAGCACCGGGCCCGGCTGAGGTTGTCGCCCATAGCAAAGGGCCCCCAGGTTCAGGAGCTGAGCCACCACGGAGAGCTTTGCAAGCCAGCTCCTCTGGGCACATGGCATGATTCAGTCGTTGGGGAGAAGAAAAATCAACAAGTTTTAGCTCTCAGCTCAAGAAATCAAGTCCTCGCCCGTGGCCGAGCAAGAAGATGCAGGGGTGCATGGTCCAGGAGTGGGGAGAGGGAGGCTGCAAGGCTGCCCGCGATCTCCCTTTGCTTTTTTTTTTTTTTTTTAAGCAGAAAGGGGCTAGTTACCTTTCCGTCCCCTCCCTCCTCCAGAAAGGGGAGTGATTGAGCTGACAGCGTCTGCTTCGAGCAAGAAGATGCAGGGGTGCATGGTCCAGGAGTGGGGAGAGGGAGGCTGCAAGGCTGCCCGCGATCTCCCTTTGCTTTTTTTTTTTTTTTTTTAAGCAGAAAGGGGCTAGTTACCTTTCCGTCCCCTCCCTCCTCCAGAAAGGGGAGTGATTGAGCTGACAGCGTCTGCTTTCCGCGGGCTGTGGAATGGGTCGGAGCGGGAGGGCGCAGCCCACCCCCGATCCCCACCCCTCTGCCTGGGGCGCCCGGCCTCCTCCAAGCCAGCCCCGCGCATCTTCCTCCGGGACTCCCACCCCCGCGCTCCGCCGCCCCGCCCAGAGCCCGGCCGAGCCGGCCAAATAGGGGAGCTCAGAGAGAGTCACCCTGGGCGGGACCGCGAGTGAGAGGCCCCCAGGCCAGTCCCTCATACACGAGGAAAACATTGAGGGCAGAGATGGGGTAGAGGGGACCCCACTCCCCGACCCTCCTCAGCTCAGTGCTGCCCCCTCTCAACCCCTTCTCCTCCCCTTGCTGAACTTTTCCTACCTCTACCAAGCCGCCTCTGCCGGCTCTCTGTCTCCAAGATTCTCTTCCAGGGCCGGCTAGGGCTTCTCTTTCAAAAGAGTAACAAGCAGTTTTTCCCTTTGCCAGGTCACACGAAGGGAAATGGTGTGTTCACATGCCAGTGAGACCCTGGACAAGGCTCTGTGCCATGAGGTGATGGGACCAAAGGACCATGAACAGCTCTGAGGCTGCAGGTCTCTGTGGGGCTTTTCTAATCTTCCTAAGCCCACCTCCACTCACCCAAAAGGAAACCGGAAGAGTAGAGGAAGTCAGCCCCAGAAGGTGTCAAGGTGTTTCTCCAGTTTACCTGCACGGGCCACCCATGGAAGGCGAAACCATCCAGAGGCTCAAGCTTTACATCAGTGAGACTGCTGCAAACTAGGGTGCTTGCCAGGCATCCTGAGAATTTCCTGGGATAATCCACTCAAGATTTTGCACCTCAGCGCTGAAACAGGCCTCTTTAGTCCATTCAGGAGGAATTTGGCCCTATAGTGGTTCTCCGTGGCTTCTTGCCAACCCATATGTGTTCTGTGAGTGGAGTGGGTACCAACTCATCTAGCCTTGCCCAGGGCCAAGCAGTGAGCCAAGCACAAGGTGATGCTCACAGACCTGGAGCGGGTAGTTTGAAGGACTTCCAACTGGATTCATACATACCACATGTCAAGGCATAGGTGTGAGATTCCTGTTACTGCCATTACAAATGCCCAGAAGTTTGGCAACTTGAAACAATACAAATTTAGTGTCTTACAAATCTGGAGGTCAGAAGTCTGAGATGGGTCTTGCTGGGCCAAATCAAGGTTAACACAGCCGCATTCCTCACTGAAGGCTGTTTCCTTGCCTTTTCCGGGTTCTAGAGGCTGTCCGCATTCCTTGGCTTATGGCCGTCTTCCCCCATTTTCAAAGACAGTAGAGCCATTTGGCTCTCTTAAGTTGCATCCTCCTGACACTTCCTCTTTTTCCTCCCTTTTCCATGTATAAGGACCTTGTGATTGCATTCTGGAGCCACCCAGCTCATCCAGGTTCATCTTTTTATGATAAAGTCAGCTGATTGTTGCCATTGTTCAGTCACTAAGTCATGTCTGACTCTTTGTGACCCCATGGACTGTACACCAGGCTCCTCTGTCCACCATCTCCGGAAGTTTGCTCAAATTCATGTCCATTGAGTCGTGATGCTATCTAACTGTCTCATCCTCTGCCTCTGCCTTCTTATTTCGCCTGTAATCTTTTCCAGTGATTTGGCTCTTTGCACCAGGTAGCCAAATGGAAGAACTTCGCATCAGTCGTTCTGATGAATATTCAGGATTGATTTCATTTAGGGCTGACTGGCTTGATCTCCTTACAGCCCAAGTGGCTCTCAAGAGAGTCAGCTGATTAGCAACTTTAATTCCATCTGGAACTTTTATCCTCCTTGCCTTACAACATTACATGCTATGTTGTGCTATCAGATCAGTCATAGAACTGCTCTGAGCCTCTGTTCCTTTTATATAAATATTAGTTAAGAAGAGCATAACTTTAGTCCAAAGGAGATTCAGATAAGACATGCATGTCTAGTGAAATGTCATGAAGACCCAACAGAAAGGCAATTGCAAGGGTGTTGAAGAACCACTTTGGGCTAGAACTCTTTCTTTCCCTTTTGTCCTCTTCCCCTTCCCCTTGTCCTTCCCCTCCTCCTCTTCTTCCTCCTTCTGTTTCTTCTTCTTTTAATAGCAAGCAGAGTCTCACCTGGAGGGTGAGAAAAAGAGTTTCCTACTGGCATTTAAAGACCAGAGATGCTGCTAAACTGCCTGCAACACAAAGACTTCTCATCACAACAAAGACTATGCCCATAGTGCTGAGGCTGAAATAACTTTTTCTAGATGCATGTACAGCACTCAGAGTTCTTTTATACTCTTTGCCATTAAAAGAATCTTTGTTCTGGAGTAATCACTTACTGGATTTCACTTCCGAAGTTCACTTACAATGCTGTGCCAGTCTCGGGTGTGCAGCAGTGTTTCAGTTATACATACACCTATATTTGTTATTTTTCAGTGTTTTTCCTATTTTTCTTTTTTCCTTCTTTTTCCCCAAGTGCTGTTGAAGAGACTTACATAATTGCACCTAGTGGTAACGACCAGTTCATCTCTCCAACTAGTTGGAGAGATGTTATATTTTATATAATATCTCAGCACAGATATGCATCCTGCTGCTGTTCTAAGACCGAGTTCCTCTTACTGTCTCCAGAATTTACGAAATTCCTCCAAAGCCTACTGTTACCTCGGAGCAGAGGGAAGAATTAATCCTCCTCTTGTCAATGGGAAAAGGAAACAGATCCTTTTGGTGACCAAGGCTGTAGCAGCAAACGAGCCCACAGTCTTTCCTGATGTGTCCTCTATAAAGAGAGCACAGCTGTGGAGCAGTTCATCGCCTCCTAAACATCCCATGACTGATGCAAATATGCTCCCACTGAAGAAAAACTACAAACACATACAAAATGCCAGTGTTATATAAGAGGTTGGGACAGCAAATACAATATTTATGACACGCTATCTACTGGGCATTGTCCTGTATCTGTATTACTTTATTTAACCTTCACAAAACCCCATTAGTTAGACAAGTACTATTATTATCCTTGATTTGTGGATGAGAAAACAGACACTGAAAGGTTACATAACTTGCCTAGGATCACATCACTATGAAGTGGAAAATCAGGGTGAAGCAGTGAATGAAAAGACTTAGCCAAGATGCTAAGTAGAACCAAATATAGATCTATCTTACTTGCTCGCAGTGTCTTCATCCACAAGGAGTGGAGGGACTAATACTGACATTCAAACATCATCACTGTGTGTCAGGTGGTGGCTCAGTTTGTAAGCAAAGTATTTTCCATATAAAAATACAAATTGAGGCAAAAGATTAAAATGCCTCACAAAGAGTTCCCTCTGTTACATAGGCAAACAACAAAGTTCATACTTCCCTTGAAGAGGCATAACAAAGTTCATACTTTCCTTTAAAACCTGTAGAAGAACAAGGGATGGCTGAAATTCAAGGAACATTAGCTCAAGGCATTTTTCACAGCTCTTATTAGCACTGGAAAGACAAAAGAAACTGACATAGACCAAGAAGACCAACTCTGACCTGGCCCCAAGAATCACAAATTAATACCACAGAAAGAGAATTAACATCTGTTAACCCTACCTCAATACCACCATCACCACCACTTCATAATGACAATCATGGTATCATGCTTTATAGTTTACAAGGTTCCTTTAGTAAGCCAAGTGAGAGGATGAGAGGGAGAAAAGTCTTCCTCTGAACTTTTCAAGCATAGTTAGACCTTAACTCTGCTTGGAAGTCAAAAAACAATGTCTTCAAAAATCATACATTTTAATATTGCTGTCACATGTACTATTTTCTTTTAAACCTCTCTGCAGTCCTTGAAAGAAGATGGGAATGGTATTTGAAACCCTGGGGATTCTCAGCTCACTTCTATCTTTCCACCTTCTTGTAGTCAATGTATAATTGTATCAATAATCAGCACTGCCCATTCCCATCACCAAGAGAGCTTGTCTTCCTCTCTCAGTTTGAAGCTCCTGAAACCTTCTTGGCTTTGTATTAAATGAATGCCATTGAACCATTCTTCAGACATTGTAATTAATCCATTTGACTAAAGAAACAATGTCATGTCAACGCCTCTTTTAAAGCTATGGCTGAAAAGGCTATGGATCCCTGATTAATGAATCATATTATTGGCTGGAAGAAAACAGCACTTCTGAGAAAAAAATTGTGTAGCCCTTGAGTCAAAATGCTGCAGCCAATTGAATCTAAAGTTAGTTTGGAATCATCTTAAGCCTAGTCAAAATGAAACATAACAAGGGTTTACTATGGTTGATGGAAGGAGATCCACGTAGGTCGTCGGCCTGAGGGAGCCCAGGTGAGGTGAGGGGGATATGGAGTAGCCTGGTGAAAGATATCAGAACCTCAGCAGTGTAAAAAGAGTATCCGTGTAGGATAGCTGGCCAGTGCATGTATCAGAACCATGGCAGATGGAGAAGGACACCCACCTAAGAGCTGATGACCCAGCAGAGTGTTGAAATACTGGCAGGGTAGTGGGATGATGGTGGCAGCTGAGGCAGTGACTGGAGGTTATTTAGATGCAGGGGGACTGATCAAATATGTTAACAAAACAAGGATAGTGGAAGTCAAGTTTCTCAGTGCCAGTGAAGAAAAGTAACTGTAAGAGGAAAGAGAAGAGCAGAATGAACCCAGGAATGCTGTTTTGTAACTGAATCTATAGTTGTCCCAAAAAATTGATTGTTAAAGAACAAATAGAAACAGCCAACAACAACAAGGAAAGACTCAAAGAAAGATGAGGGCACATCAAAAGGAGAGAGAAGCTAGCATGAAACAGTGTCCACTAGCCAAATCTAAGAAAGTTTAAGCAGAAATACACAATAGTAATAAATTATTA